TCGGCGAATACGTCGTATCCCATTGCCATATGACTGCCTCGGGCCTTTTGTCACGTCCTTCACGCTCCAGTGCGTGTCGAGCGTACTCCAGCACAACATCATCCGATGGTTGCAGAAATCCACCCTTTTTCTCCACGCTGCTATTCGTATTCGTGAGGGAAAGACCTCCGCTTTTGCCCTCCGTCGTCGTCGTCTCCTTCGAGGAGCTCTCTTTTCCTTCCGGCCCTCGGCCCGACTGCGTGCTGCACCACCTGGCAAGCACCGTCACCGAGCACGCGGCTCCCGAGTGTGTGGGGGGCAGACGACGGAGCCACATGATTGACTCACGGCTCCCTACCACCCTCTCGTGATCGTTATTCCTTGACTGCCACGCAGGAGCCAAGCAAAGAACAAAAAAAAAAATGGAATAAGCCAGCAAGAAGAATTAAAAAGACACACACCGCCCAACCCCCCACCCACCCACCCCAAAAAAAGAAAAAATTTCTTCTTTCCATTTGCCTTTCGTTGGGAGGAAAAAATAAAAATATTCGTCTCAGAAGGGTATGACGGGCAAACACAAAAAAAAGATGCACAATTCCCTCAGTCCACCCGCAGCAACGCCCACAAAATTCGGGAAAGAGACGGGCAATTCGCTCGCACATGAAAGAACAGTTGTTGTCCGCGTGTCCCATTGGATGCAACAACTGCGACTGAAATCAAAAAAGGAAAAAAAAGATGATCGCAGCATCCTTTGAGCACCTGAACAAAAAAAAAAAAAAAAGAAGCAAAGGTGAGAAAAAAAGCACGCGGGTGTGGTCACCAGGCCAAAAAATTGCCTCTCCTCCCCGCCCACCACACGCTGCCAAAACAAAAAATCGAAGACCACAACAAAACACACACGCACATTTAATTCCATATATATATATATATATATATATATAGCCTGATTGTTATTTGTTATTCGTGCTTTCAGTTTCACGTTATTTCTTCTTTTTTTCTCTTTTGCAAAAGGCCCCAAATACTCTTTTAAGAAATAAAACTCACAGGGGCTTTCCTACTCCACTGAGGTACTGCGCAGAAGAATAATATGTAGATTGATCTGATGGATACTGTGGAGGCACTCCACCGTTCTGATCTCCAGAAAGAGCTTGTGGGTATTGCCCTGGAGGCACTTCACTTGACGACGTCATGAGAGGGATTCCAGCCGTAGGCGCCAAATTATTGTACTGCGTTGGAAGCTGCGATGAAGGGTAATACGGCTGCTGAGGCTGCGGCGGAGGGTAATACGGCTGCTGAGGCTGCGGTGGAGGGTAGTACGGTTGTGGCGGCCCCCATGGCTGTAGGTATTGTTGTGGCACATAATGAATGAGACTGGTGTTTACTGTAATTGGGCCAAACAGAGAGAATGGCTTATACAAATCCACCGGTTTTGAGCTAGAGAGCTGAGGTACCTGTTTGTACCCCTTCTGACGCAATATCTCTCTTGTCCGGATAAAGATATCCGCGTAGCTAAGTTGGGATGTGTTCACCAACGCCCAGGTGAGAGCCTGTGTTGCAGCGCCGCCGGAAGCCACAAGGCCAGATCCAAACGAAGACACATTTGACACATCTGCGCTCGTCCCAGAGTCATCGCACCCGCTAAAAACCACCACATCGCCCATGGAAAAATTGTTGGCCCGCACCTTCCGCATTTCGTGCCTCCCCCCCGAGTAAAAGTTATTGTTTCCCACAAAGGCGAATGGAAGATCCAACAGCGAGGCGGAGTGACAACAGTCAAAGACAGCCGTCATACGTACCCCGGCTGGAAGCCCTTTGACAAGCAACTCAAACAAGTCATCATCCAATATGGCGCCCTGCACCTGGTAGTCGAGCGGCACAAGACATTGGTCGTACAACTCCTCCGAGTCGCGCTCCGCCTTGGTCTCTGTCCCATGCCCAGAGTAGTGAAAAAACAGCACATCCCCTGGTCGAACATCGTGCACCAACCATGCCATGTGCTTAATAATATTTTCACGGGTTGGCAAAGCCGTAAAGTTAGGAAACCGCATGTCATCCACCAGAATACAACACTCCGAAATGGGAAACTGGATCCGCTGCAGCGTTCCAAGCATTTGTCGGACATCGTTAACACACCCACTGAGCTTATTTCGTGTTCCTGTGTAGTTGATGCCTACAAACAGCGCCTTCACGCGACCGCCAGTGTACGGCGTGGGGGCCCTGTAAGGAATGACCGGACGGCACAAGTGTGCCTCGCGAAACGCCTCCTCGAGTTTGACGCGCTTTGGCCGTTTTACCCTTCCAACACCAGCAACAAACGGCAAGGCGTTCTGTAATATGCCACTTGAAAGGACGCCAAGAAGCAGGTCCATTTTGTTGGACTTTTTGTTGTTTAATTATATACTACTCTCCCCTCTGCTTGTTTTCAATGCGTGTTTATGAGTGTGTTCGCAAAGGTGTTATTTACTACGAATTACTCTACAAAGACCTTTACTCGACAAACCATTTCATCCCAAGCGATAAAAAAAAAAAAAAGAGAAAAATACAATGACCGTAAAAGAGAGGAGTGGCATTTCCTGCTGTTTTTCCTTTGTGTGCGTGGTTCATTCCCATCATCTCGCTCGCCCAAGCGTAATCGCGGCAGACCCTTTAAGCAGAAATTCTGCGAACGTATCGCCGATCCTCCATTAGAGACCGGCACTCATAACTGATTCACAAGCACGTACACTAAAAGAACCACACGCGGCCCATGGGCTGCAGCCCATGCGAGAGCAAGAAACTCTCCAGAACGTACTGACTGGGAGCGAGGAACGGACTCACAAGAATCCCATGCGCTCTTCCAATGACAGTCAAATCCACTAACTCATCGTGGGCGCTGGCAATTTCACCCTGGCGGAACAACGCCATTCCCCACCACGGGGGTTTCTTCTCAAGACCCCGTAACTCCTTCCATATCTCACTAGACACGCTCACGTACACGGCGTCAAAGCTTGAATTGACGCCATCCAATTTTCCCTCTTCCAAGACTTGTGTGATGCGCTTTGCCAACTGCGCCGCCGTTGGAGAGCATTGATGTAGAGTGTTGTTACTCACATGATTCTCAAAACGTGTCCTTCCCTCCGGGAAATTGGCCAATAGGTACAAAAAGTGGTCCCCGCGTGGATCATCGAAGTGTGCAAGACAGTCACCTACTGAATTATGCGCCACAACAGCCAACACTTTTCGGTTTGTGAGTGCGTGTGCTGTGTAGAAGTTCTTTGCATCATGGACCACGCCCGAGTGTGGAAGCAGCATGGATCGCATGGCCCAAAATTCGCGTTTACCGTATCCGTTTTCGCCCTCTGGGGCCTTTAAACACAACTGCGCAATGTCACTCGTGATTTCCACCTCCGCGCAATCCATACAGAAAGTGACAAGCGGCGTTTCTACCAAGTCACGCAGATCGGCAACGGTGTTTTCAGAGCTCGCGCTCCATTGGAAGATGGAGGGGAAAGTGATGTTAGGGTTATTTGTGCGGTAGGCGCAGAGAGCGAACCGCTGAAGAAGCAGCACGCGTTCCAGGGCGGTGGACACAACCACCTGAGACATTTGACCCTGAGCCAACAGCAGTGAGGAGTTGCCAGTGCGGCCAAAATACGTGGGAGCCTTTCCCCCTTCTTCCCTCTCCGAGAAGTAGATGGATTCCCTTTCTTGCGGGGTCTGCTTGTCATACCTCCACTTCATCCTCCGCATGCGATCTGCCTCCTTCAGCATCCTTCTTTGGGAAGAATTGTAAAGGAATTCTTTCCATCGCCGCAAGATGGATTCATCGGAGAGCAACGTGCATCCTGGGAGCCTGCCGCAGAAGTGTTTGTGCTTTTCCCGCATGGATCCCAGTAACCCATGAATATGTACTCTGTGCATCCCCTCACCCTCCGTCAGGTTGCTCAGCAGCTCCCTCAGAACGCGTAGCTCGTTTTCTATCGCCTTCAACTCCAAGTGGGGATCCCCATCCTTCCTGCTTCCCTCTTCGCCGATGATGGTGATCTCAGCCCGGCACTTATCCACCAGATCCGTGACAGACTTGAACTCCTGCGAAAGTTTCTTCATTTCCTGCTCAATTCCTGCATTCTCGTTCTGTACGGCATGGATGGTTTGGTTCTTCGACGAAACATTGGTGCTAAGAAGAAAAAGCTCGTCGCTACAAACCCCAAGCATGGAACCAGCATGCAGCTCGCGCCCATGGCTTTGCTCGTATTTGTTCACAAAATCCTTTTCCCACGCCTTCACGCCATGATGGTAGCCCAGCGCGAAGCCAATCATAACCATCACCATCAGCATCGCCAGCATGGCGGGGTGGAATCGCAGCTCGGCACTGCGTTCCTTCATTTGGCCGGCCAGGAAAAATAAATAAATAAAGTCCTGGGCGGGATTTTACTACGTACTTCCCACTCACGCACCGATCGTGTTGTTATTCTCTTCTTTCCTTTCGCTGCACGCACGCACACTCCCAGTCCCTACCAACCCCCTGGTAAAAATAAAAATAAAAAACAAGTGGTGTTGAAGAGGCGGGGGCCACACGTCACGAGCCTACGTGAATTTGTAAAAAAAAAAAAAAAGAAAGAAAGAAAGGAAAAAAAGCATTAAAAATAATAATAATAATAATTTCTACCAGCCGCAGAATGAAGCAGAGAATTATTTCCCACCCTCCAATCTCTCCGAGGGTGCTCTTGTGTTGCGGTGTCTCTCTTTTCAGCTGCTCCCTCGAGCCCAAACGGCGTTAATTTCATCTATCTGTCCCTTACGGCCAGTTTTATTAAACCGCCCCTCTCCTCCACTCGCCCCTCCTGCCTCTTCCCTGCACCTCTCGCCCCTCAGCAAGGATACACACCGGCGCCACACTCACAGACACAAAGAGAAAAAAAAATACATAAATGTATAGAGAACGAGAGAAATCCCATAATTTTTTCCTCAAAAACGCCCAACAGTGTGCAGAGCAGGGTTTTTCTTTTGCTTTGCTTTTCCATTGAAACTCGCCCGTCATCCTACAACAGCCTCATGATCTTTTCCCGAATGGCAGACGCATGTGCTGCGTGTTGGGAACGCTTTTCGGAGTGATACGCCAACACCAGCTCCAGCGCGTGAGAGAGAAGAGGAATGAAATTTCTCGGACGCTGCTCTTCTGGAAGACGGAGCGCAACATCTACCGTCTGCTCCACGAGGGCCAACACCGTGGTCGGATGCATCCTGAACGACGCAGTGCAACGAAGAGCCTTCTCCGCAGCGCGCAGCACCCAGTGAATGGTGTCGGGGCTGCGCACCGGGTCTTTTTGCCCGTCAAGCCCCTGCAAGCTACCGATAGCCCTTCGGTACTCGGACACGGCAGCACAAACACGCAGAACATTTAGCATTCGAAGGTTGGAGCTCGTGTCAACCGAAATAAAGTTGTTATTTACTGCCTGGCCCACAACATAGACCTCCACACTCTCTAGGGCCCCCGGTGACCGCAGGATCCTTTCAAAACGTATCTGCAGTGACTTGGATTGCTGGCACTCGACGGCCAACCACACAGCAGGGGCCGTTTCACCACAGGCCCATCGTTCATTGATGATTTTCTCATGTAGTACCTCGACCGCTTTGCGTCTATAGTAGTCAACTGAGGCAATCCACTTATCTAATGTCTCGCTCAAAGGGTACTTCTCGCGCAGCAGGCGGCGTAGTGCCACCTGAAAGGCGCTCGTCTCCTCCCAAGAGGAGCAGATAAAAGTGTGGCACGCCAAAAAAGTGTAGCGATCACTCACTGCATTTCCAGCCCGCTCTGTCACGATGCGGTACAAAATGGCGGGATTCATAAGAGGCGAGTACACCACGTACATGGCTGCCGTGCGCCAGAGCAGTGGATGGTGCCGAAATAAGGCAACAAAGTCCTCCACAAGTTCATTCCGGACAAAAGTAACTTCTATTTTGCTCACAGGCGCGCCAAGTGGGGGTGCACAAATGTCGGCCAAATGAGCAGCCATAAAGAGCAGGGCAAAGCGTCGGAGTAGTTTTGGGTCAGCAGGTGCTTCGCTCGTAATCTCTACACCTGAAACATCGTCCTCCTCTTCCACACTGTTAGCCGGTGGAGAGGAAACAACGTTACTGTCTTCGCTCGGCAGTTTTGGCAAGTACTCGTTGCAACGCACGGCTCGCCCAACAAGTTCCATGGCGCAAACCACATCTGCCATACACCGGCTAGCCAATAGCCGCTCAACGACACCAACGTACCATGGCCCTTTCACAGAGCCTCCCCACGTATCCCATGCACTTTGATATAGGTGGTGCAACTGGCGAAGAGCCATATACGGCTTGCAGACGGCGCATACCGCAGCGACGTAATCCATGACATCTAGCTCTAGCAAATGGCATGTGTCCAAAATCAGTGCCGCGTCACCACTCACCATTAAAAGAAGGTCCAAACACAAAGACTTTAGTTGTTGTGCCGCCTGGACAATCAAATTAGATTCATCACCTGCTCTTGTAAAGACGCGTTTACAATCGACGATAAGAAGGTTCGCTGTAGCCGTCCATTCTCTGTGTTCTGTGCTGTTTCTTGGCGTCTCCAGGAAGAGACGAATCACGTCGGCCAATGCGCTCTCGTCCTCCGCGTCAAAAGGGTCTATCTCACAAGAACGCAGGTAGTCCACGAGAGAGCTGATAAGTTCCGCTGCAACAGGAAATAGGCCGGCAAGAAAGGCCCGCTGGATGGATATCATGTAGGGCCCTAGAAGCCCCTCAAAAAGATCTTCTTCCGCCGCGGACGAAAGAGTTGCTCGGGGAGGCACCGCATTCAGCGTGCTTCGCAGCCCATAAATGGCGTCCATGCTCACAAAACGGCTGCGATACCACTCCAAATACGGTCCACTCGCAATGACTGCGTCATCACCGCCATTCTCCAGAATGGCAATGACGACAGAGACCAGCTCCCACACCACCTCTGCTGTCGGGTCCACCACTGACACATCGTTAATCGCCTTCAGTCGCGAAAGAAGCAAATCCGACCACCCACATAACGTTTGCGGGAATGCCGTCGTGCTCTTATCATTATGATGATTATAACTACCATTGACGGTGCATACAGCAGCAGCAGCAGCAGCAGTGTTGGTGATGGGTGCGGGGGTGGCAACAGGCTCACACGACCCAAATCCCTCCGCAAGCGACCTGGGAAGTTCATCCGTGCACTTGCCAAGGCGGACACGCTGCAGCTGGACGAACGCATCAAACCCGGATCGCACGGCAGCGACGAGCGTGGGCGGAAACTCCGATGCAGTCGACCTCATTATTTTTCTTTTTTTGCTTGCTTGATTTTCCCTCCTCCTCCTCTCCAACACCCCTTTTGCCTCCGTTTTTTTTTTTTTTTTAATGCAGTTGGCCCTCGTCCCGCCGGGAACCAAAGCGAGGAAGCAGAAGACCCCACCAGGCGGTGCCAAATGCGCAGGAGGTTCGCACACACACAAAAAAAAAAAAGGAAAGAAAAAAAAAAATTTGCGAATCGACGATCGTGTGTGCGTTTCTGTGGCAACGACACGGAAGACACCGCAGACCAAAAGAGAAAAACATGCAAACAACAACAACATAAAAAGAGGCAGAAAAAAAGAGCCTTCCAACCCCCGCCCCTCGCGTAGCAAAAAAAAAAAAGCACTTGACTGAAGCTTCCCCCTCCACAGCCCAGTCCTCTCCGTCCATTTCTTTCTCTCGCCGTTAATTAATTCATTCCTCCACGCTCTTCGACCGACTCCTTTTTTTTTTTTTTTTTGGATTTTTTGATTAAAATACACCGAAAGAGGACCCGCCAACAATCCGAGTGTTTTGGCTGTACGAGGCTTCTCTGTTCCCAGCAATCCACGCATCCCACCGGCCCGCTGCGGGGCGTCCGAGATCTCAGAGGCGACCGTCACGTCTCGTATCGTCGGACCGTAAACGCCGGCACAATTTTGCGAGGCGAATGTGAATCCCCCTTTGCCATGCTGAAAAAAAGCCAAGGAGGAGTAACGCACCAATGGAAAAAAAAAACATCTCCCGCAGGATTTGCGCGACAAATTTGCCTATTGTACGATCAATCACAATGACAAACAGTCCCTTGACTACCGATAGAGAAATCACATGCTTCCGCTCCGGATTTTTTCTAAAAAACGCCAGACACGTGTGCGAGGAAACGCATGGAAAGCCCACACACAGGGCCAGATTGTACGGCTTGACAAAGAAAGGAAGCGTGGAGAGTCCAATGAGCATGAGCAGCACCATGAAGTGTGCCCCAACGTATCGAATTGTGAGCATCGAATGCACTCTTGTAAAGGCCAGCAACATAATCACAAAACCCCCACCGGTATACCGCCGCACAAAGGAAGGATATTTCTCACGTTCACGTGTGGCGATGTTGCGTAGTTCATTACGCAAGGCAATCAAAATGAAGGCTGTCTGGATCACTGCAACAAAGACATGAGCAGAGAGCGTCGTGGTGGTGTAAAGCCCCAACGCGTACCGCACCCAGCCAAGTGCATCACGGGCCATATTGAACCCAAGTCCCAAGGGCATATTCATACACGTAACAAAGTAACAAAGCAGCTGCCAAATCAACTTTGACTCCGCAGCGAGCAAATGAAGTTCCAAATGCCATAAAAATAGCACACTTTTTCGAAGGAAACTCTTGAAATCCGAGAGATGGAGCAAATCCGAGAGCAATGGAGCCAGGTCACCCACAAGGGTGGCGAAGGAACGCGCCGCATAATTCATGATGCGCCAAACAGGTTGGGCAGCCTCCCTATATAGTAAAATAGCACCCGTCCCCAGACCCTTTACGCAGTGCACCGTGAGCCGCCACTCCATCTGCAGGGCCCAATTGTACGCCTCCCACAGACCAGGCACAAAATCCAACGCATCTAATGCCCAAAGAAAAAATTTGTAGGAACCGCCCCCAATTCGAGCACCCAACAAATACCGTCCATCTTCGGCATATTTCTGGTTGGACACTTCGCAGAAAGATACATGAGAGGAATTTCTTGCGGAACAGTAAACTCCGGTCGTCAGGACTTCCAAATCCTTTAGCCTGGCCATAAAATACGGAGTTGCTTTCTTTACGGCGCAAAAAAATGCACTTCGGGCAGCGACAAATAGGTCTGAAAGCTTAGCACCCAATACTACACTGCTGGGAATCAAGACATACTCCACAACATAGGCCAAGTGTCCATGCATGCTCTGAAGAACCTTAGGCATTTGCCAGAGCCATCTAAGAGAATACGGCACCTGTCCTTTCAAAAAGGGCGGAGCAACACTACGGTCTCCCAGTAGTCGCAACATGTCGTGTCCGCCCAGTTTTGGAAAGCACATTAAGAGGGATTCAGTATCACTGGAAAAAAACCAATTTATCTGACGCAACTGCCCAAGGAAATCCATACAACCATCGGCACGATGAATACGTCCTGAGGACATAAGACGACCGTTGCCGTCATACAGCTCAAGATCTACATTCACAAGAAGAACATCCGACGCCAAGTTTAGGCAACGAACACTAAAGTCATCCACATTGCTTCCGACATGCGTGGGTATTTTGCATCGTATTGTGATGCCCTCCATCCGTCCATCCGACCCAAGCAAAGTGATATAATGCATCGTCCGCCTAACAACTGAAACATTCTCCACGCAGCCTTCCAAGGCGTAGATGCGTGTATGGTCTCCAAGAGAGACAAAAGACTTTTTCAGACTTTTTAAACCATTTTTAACCTCATAAACCGTCAGTTCCGTATTTTGCTTTTTGCATGGCACCTGCGTTATGCTCACTCCATCATATACAACAAAGAGATGATGAGGTCCGGCGTTTCCGTGGGAAGGCCACACCGCCACCTGTCCGTAGTACCGTGAAACCCAAGTCGCGGAGTCCGATGGGATCTCCAGGTGCACGTGTCCACTGAATTGCGGCACGCACATGCCCATGAAGGCAAAACACAACAAAAATGCCGCAAATCCTCTCCTCCATGACGAGGCGCCATTAACCACAGCAACTCCCACCGCCACGGTAAGAATATAGAGGGTCAGCCCCGTATGCAGGGAGACAATCAAGAAAATAGTAAGGCACAGAAAGCCCATGTAATGCCATTGGATGCAGCTCAGCTTCGCACCAACCCGACAGACTACATGGGTAAAAGCCTGAATGAGGACCACGAGTGCCAGAGTTGCCAGAGTGCCAACCAAAATAAACAGCAACTCTCTCTCCTGGAGTACAAATGGCATGCCTCCCTTGCTGTTTTTTGTTGGTGTTTGCTCACTCCTTCCTTCCCCCTCCCACCATACACACAAACACCAACCTACTACCAATATCTGGGTCCAGGAAGAAACGCGGCCTAATAAAACAGGAAAAATAGCAGAGGAAACAAAAAAAAATAAAAATAAAAAATAGAAAAACAGGGCAAAAAAAGAAATAAAAACAAGTAATTCGCACAGTCCATCCAGAAATATTCAACACTCAAACCCATTTGAACAACGCATCCAAATTACAATATGCAAAATACACGTGTTCTTGCGCATATTTCTTCTCCATTTGCACAACAATAACTCACAAAAAAAATTTAAAAAAAAAGAAAAGTAATATATAACTTTAGTGCTTGATTCCCCTAAAACGAAGAATAGTCTGCGCCTTGGTTTCCCCTCAATAAAGATGAGGGGAGGGTAAAAGAAGACCACAATTTGTTTTTGTCGAGCTGCTCTCATGGCCATGCGTTCATATAAACACGTACACAACCCTTATATTCAATACGCAATGGAGCGTCCACACCGAATTTTCATTAGCTGCCACCACCAAGTGCAAATCAAAGGAGCGGAGGTGCTGAAGGCGCAATTCGCCCGCCTCCCGTGCAGCGGCAGGGAAAGGTTGTGTGGGCCTCCGCAACATGACCATTGCAACAAAAAAAAATACGCAACGATGAAATTGAAAGAAGGGTGCTGCCATGCTTATTTCACAGGGCACACGCAAGGCCGTACATCATTCCTCCCGCAGACTCGCAACAACAAAAGAAAAAACAAAAAATTGCACCAAAAATGTGTCCAAAAAGTCGTTAGATTTTCTAAAAACGCACGTGCCAATCCGTGATTTTCCGCCTGGAGGCGCCTCAAAAAGAAATATTTCGCTGAATTTCTGTCATTGCTGAATCCACAGGCGTTGAAGTCTTCATAAAGCTGTTGTTGGGGAGATGAGAAGCAACACTGCTACCATTCATATTCAGGTAGTAGTTCACTTCCCGTTTGATGCGATACACCTCGGCGGCAACTTTGTGTTGAATACTCTGCTGGCGCTCTTCTATCCGCTTCGACCTTGGTAGCGGACTCACCGTCACGTCCTCCGAGCCACCCCTACCATGCACAGTGCCCAAAGAGTTGGTGGCTGCATACACACGTTGCCTGACAGTCTCCCACCGGACTTTGTCCTCCAGGCTCCAACGGATAACCTCCGCCGCAGGCAACTCGTCGACTGTGACCTGCTCTTCGGTACGGATAGACGACGCTGTAGAGCCCGGTAAACTACGCTCGGGGCAAGCCGAAGAATTGACTTTTCTACTACTCGAATTTCCACATAATAACTCCGCAAAACTGCGGTATTCCATGCCAATAATAGAGAGAATGGCCTGACAGTGATTCGGATCGCCACTAAGAAACTGGCGTGTCAATGCAAGCAATTGCTCAACCTCGTCAACATCACAAATGGACGTGGCAGCTATCAATCTACGCAGCAACACCCGTATAGTATTGGGTTCATAACCATTGGCTCCCAGCAGCTGAGTAAGCACCGGGGACTCCAGCTTGGAAAACTTTTTGGTCGATATTAGAAGCGCTAAACTCAGGTTCTTTCGCGTTTCAAATAGACGACTTGAGTTCTTCATTTTTGTGCGGACCCACGAGTTGTTGTTGACGGCAATGGCACTTATGGCGTTCACAATCTCCAGCCCCAACGGCAGTGGGAAGGGGCGCAATAAGTCCTCGATGCCGTGGAAGAGAAAATCCAAATTCTTGATTATGTTGGTCGCATCGCTTCGACTGCTGATCTCACATCGAAATTTCGTAAAATGCGCGACAATCTCTTCTAGCACAAGGCGTATGAGGAAGGGCGGCTGCTCCGTCTGTCGCAAGGTACGCACAATCCCGGCCTTGGTGTTGCAAATCACATCTAGAATTGCCAACCGACGCACGATGTTCCGAAATTGTTGCTGAATTGCGACCATGTGCTTCTTTGACATTTTGGATAATGGTTCGGTGCTACTATTGCTCGCGGGGTCAAGCACAGGCCCCACAGCGCCCCACAGCCAAATCAACCAGGGGAATGGGAGCAGTATTTTTGCATTTTCGGGGCGATCAACAATTTTCTCAATATGGCCAAGAACACGCAGGGTGATAATCTCCTTTGAATCTTCCTGCGTGGGTGAAATCACGGAGACCCTACTCACGCTGTCCGCCGCATTGTTAGCCCCGCGGTCCTCGTGCACCGCGACATTTGCATCCGAGGCAACTTCAGAAGAAAGACGAGAGTCTCCAGTGACGGAAAGAACAGGTGG